TACATATCACCCAGCCCTTGAAATCAAAATAATGTCTGTCCCTGATTATTGCGCTTATGGTACATTCCTGGATTGAAGTAGAAAATGTACAATATATTTGTAACAAAATTACCAATTTGTGGATGCAGGGGAGACTTCACAGCATATGCTGAGGTGTGCTTTAGGGAATTTGGAGATAGGGTTTTGCATTGGACAACCTTGAATGAGGGCAATATATTTGTAATTGGTGGTTATGATATGGGAAGCATACCCCCTCAACGGTGCTCTGCTCCATTTGGAATAAACTGTTCTAAGGGTAACTCCTCAACTGAGCCATACATGGCTGCTCATCATATCCTGCTGGCACACTCATCAGCTGCAAGATTGTACAAGCAAAAGTACCAGGTATATTATATTACATGAGCCTTTTTGGTAAGATATTAAGGAATCTACTATTCTTTACATAGACTGTCTTTTAGTTTGTCATACAAATTAGAGAATGGGTCACGGCTGTTTCCCTTGGTGGGGCTTACCTCAGGTTCATTTTTGTGATCCTGCTGTTCATCTTACATTGTTGCAAAGCAAATTATTCGTGAAAAAAAAAGGTTGATCAGTAATCATAATCGGATCACATTTGTTTTAACAAAAATAGACGGCAAATGTGAATTTTGAGAGTAGATCGTTCATTTTTTCTAAAACAAATGATAGTTTTTTTAAAAAAAAAAACAAATATGATCTCATCGTGTAATTAATGATATCTGATCAATCTGTTTTTTTGGCCTAAATGATCTGTTTGACAAGCTCTATAAAATGAATCATTCAACTTATAAAAAAGGGTCTAGGGTGGGCCTACTGAGGGGCACAATTTTCTCTTATACAATCCCACTCCAACATTCTAACCCGAGACTTCTTCATCAACCTTATTGCAATCATTATCCCAATTCTCTCCCTTGTTTGGATCATGGAGTTGGGTAGAAATTCACAAAGGGAAAGGAAAATGTGAATAAAATGTAAATGAAATATTAGTTAAATTTTTTCTCCATTTCCAATTCCCACAAATCCATGATCCTAACATAGCCTTAGGGATAACATACAAGTTGAGGTTCCATGGAAGCCTCAAAGGTGTGATGTTTGTAAGACTTTTGGTCATACCATTAATTTGTGCCCTCAGAAGCCAAAGATCTTAAACCCTCCATCTTCCAAACAAGAGTGGAGAGTCAAGGAGACTAACATACAAGTTCCAACTAAGTGGGAAGTGGTGAAGAAAAAAGGGAGAGATGGTGGGCAAGGTTCAACGACAGTGATAAATAAAGAGGGAGAGACGTAGCATTTCACCCCATCAACATCTAATGCTTTTGATGTCCTTGAATCATGTGATATGGGAGAGTTGGGGAATGGAGAATTAAATCAAGAGTTGTTGTGTCAAACGAAGAGCCTAAAAAGTAGAGGGAATCCATCTCCAAGTGTTCCCGTTAATGGGGAGACTATAAAGGAGTATAACAGAAGAAAACTCAAAGCGAAACTTCATTACTTGAAGAGTGCTACAGGGAAATTTTGAATCCTTTGTTATGTATGTTGTGTTTGTCATCTATAGGCTTAGTTTGTTTCTTTTGAGGGAGGAGTTTGTTTTTTTATTTATGTTTGTTCTCCTTACAAAAAAATGTGTATTGAACTTCATTGTATATCTTTATTTTTTGGTTATAATATGACCTATTTATCCAAAAAAAAAAAAAAAAAATCATTTTAACGGTTTTGCTTTTCTTCTATATCCATAAACTCTTCCTCATAAACTCCGAGAACTTGCCAATCTTAGCCAAAGCCTATATTTGAAAGGGAAAAAAAAAAATGAAATTTCCTCTCTACTCGTGGATTCCACACTCATCATCTTGAGACATCATTCTTTTTTCCGTTAATTTTGGCAATCATGAAAGAAATATCACATAAAATGTTTCATAATTTTGGGGAGAATGTGATGTAACAGGGCAGGCAACAAGGATTCATAGGGATGAATGTCTATGTTTATTGGCCTGTCCCTTGCACAAATGCAACAGAAGACGTGATTGCAGCCCAAAGAACAAACGATTTTTTAATTGGTTGGTGAGTCACAATTCCCAAACCTAAATACATAAACTGATGTCTATGCATCTTGGATTATTATTTTAACAAATTATGGGTTGTTTGTTTGTGTTTTCATTTTTCATGTTTTTGAAAACAAAATTCTAATTCTATTGAAGGTTTATGGATCCCCTGGTATTCGGAGACTATCCTGACATAATGAAGAAGAACGCAGGGACAAGACTCCCTGCATTTACAAAAATTGAATCAGAACAAGTGAAGGGTTCATTTGATTTCATAGGAGTGAACCATTACAGCACAGTTTATATTAAGGACAGATCTAGCACCTTGAAAATGGATACCAGAGACTTCAATGCAGACATGGCTATCGAGTTGATCTGTATGTTACTGTGCTTCTTTTTTTTTTTTTTTCCCTCCACGTTTTAATTTTTTTTCCCATTCAAGTCTTGGTGACTACGGTCACTTAGCTCGTGACAAGGCCCAGAACCACACATAGGCTGGTGGTAAAGCCCCAAAAGAAACTAGTTTTGTGCCAATAAATAACCCCATTGGCTAGGGTCCAAATCGTAATTAGACTAGAGTGATGTTCAAAATTCAAACAATATACAACTTTTAAATAAAATATTCGATATTTTCAGAATAAACCTTTGGTATAATTTTCAGACTAGTTTCACAAAATATTCAAATAATTTTCATAATAATATTCAATACTGTTTTATACTTGACCCATATTTTATTTTAAGAGAACATGAATGCTATAAATAAATACTTATAATTTTAAACGATTCAATAGGAATAAAAATGTACCAACAGTGATAGAGGGTTACTTACTTCAAACGCTTAGAAATAATATTCTAACACCAACTCCAAACACCCAACTTCGCTACTTCAATCACACAAACCTAATAAACAAAACCTTAAATAAATTAATATTTTTACATGTTACATACACCCACAAAAGCCCCACCATATGTAATTTTGGAGGATTGGTTTGGTTGAAGTAATTTTTTTGGGTTTATTTTAATAATCCCTTCATGTTTTAAGTATGTGTATAGATCATTAATAAATTTTGAAAAAATGAATAAATTACAATAACCTTCTCTTAACTTTTAAGAAAAATATAGCAAGCTTGAAATGTTTGGAATAATTACACTTGTGTTCTTGTAAGGTTTTTGAATTCCTATAACATTTTGTCCTCCGAACTATTTGTTATGCTAAGAAAAATTTGTCCTCTCTTTTTATCTTTTTTACTTTTAATTAAGAATTTGCTTGTACATCGTTTGCATTAGTTACTCTTGTTTTATCATTATTAAAATGGAAGTCGGTATAATTATATTAAATTTCTAGTTTTATTACATTTTCTCAAATCTCAGAAGGGCAAATTTCATGCCAATAAAGGTTAGTGTAATTTACCTTATTTTTGTTTATTTGACATTACTTGTACAATACACATCTAATTTCATGTCAACAAATTTAGACCTGTGTCCACAATAACTTAGGGTTTTATTCATATATAATTTTACTTCTTGCTCTGTAAACCTTTTTGTCTCTTATTTAGTTGAGTTGATAAATTAATTTTTTTCGAAAAATTAAACCCTATTCAAAGTCCACAATAAAAATTGTATATATCATCTTATTCTTTGATGTTAGGATGAATATTTTTAATTGAAAATTTATGAAAATTGTATTGTGTATTCAAAAATTACTTCACATGACGTAATATTATGATCATATTGATTTTATCATTTGCAGAGTAGTGAAATAAATTACGGCAAAACACAAGATTTTTCTTTTTAGTACATACTAGACTAACAAGTTCATTGAAATAGTTGATAAGTAGGGTATATATAATATGACAAGGTAAGGGACGTATATAGCACAAGTAATAGAATAATAATGTGTTAACCTTAAAAGTTTTTTCATGACGACTAGAGTTGCCCCAATTAGAGATATCTTAATTGGGTGGCTCTATTAGCTTGTCCAAAGGCATAAAAACACAGTATGGACCATCAAGGCACACAATCAAATATGTAACATAAAGGGATGTAGTCACATGGGATTGTCTTTACATGATGTGATTTGTAAGACTTTAGTATGTAAAAACAAACAACAAAATTACATATACAAAATGGACTATAAAATTAATCACAGCCACATAATATATAAGTGAAATAGTTTGAGTGAAATTATATATTTTATGATGGGCTTATCATTTAACATGTATAACTGTGATTGTTTTACGTAATGAGTTTTGTGTTTGTAAACTTGTTAATGGACAAAAGAATTGGGCATTTCTTAAGTACAAATATTGATTGAACTATTCAGATTGATAATTTTTTAGTATTATGTTGTCTATTTTGATGATTAATTCTAGTCATCTTTTAGGCATATATTTATAAATAATTTATGAAAAAAATTAGGTCAATTTAATAATGGGAGAATTTTAACACAATGGGATAGATAAAAAAAAATTACAAAATAATGTGAGGTGCAAATAGTTTTGTGATGGGATGCAAGTGACTCATGTTTGTGAAATTTTTTTTTTCTCCCACTGGGATGGAATTCCCTCTTTAATAATTGTATGCATCTAATTTATTGTTAAAAAATAGACGATAAGTATAATTTTAATAATATACTAAAAAAAAGTCATTTTGCATTGAACAATTGGGAGAGAAGTCCATCCTAGACAAAATTATCCTTATAAATAGTTAAATAAGCAGATATCAAACAACCCCATTATGTTTGAGAAGAAAGGGGACAAATTTTAAATTCCAAACTGGGGGGACCCAAAGTGTAGTGGGGGGCTTTATGTAAAGGATGAAGCTGCACTGATAGTGATTGTGTTTTGGCTTCATTTAAATCAATGAATGTGTGAACAACTTGCCATATCATTAATGTTGTGTTTGGTTGAGGGATTTGGGAAGGAATTTAGAAATGAAAAGGAAAAATGTGTGTCAAACTAGGTGAAATATAGGCATGTTTTATTCATATTTCACCTACCTTTTCCATTTCCCTTTCCAAATTCCTCCCCAAATCCCCTAACCAAACACAGCGTAAAGCACTTTCTATATATGGATAGATAGAAATAACACAGGAGAGGAGAGGATAGATAGAGATATGGCAAAGAAGAACCTGTGTTTTGTTGGATCATTTGTTGTTGTTGTGGTGCTCAGCCTAGTCTTTTGCGCAGAAACATTGAGCAGACATGAGTTTCCATTCCCTCCTGACTTTGTTTTCCGTTCAGGAACCACTACTGCTTATCAGGTTTGATTTATTATTCATTATTATGCTCTTTTTTTTTTTTGGGAGGCTCAAAATGCAGAACATGGATTTGGATTATATAATGAAAGAAGATTCTGATTAATGTTGTTATTTTTTACAATTATGTGCATGTGTGTGTTGTGTGTATAAAAGTCAGAGGGAGCTGCATTCCAAGACGGAAGGACTGCTAGCATTTGGGACACTTTTGAGCAATGGTAGAGGGCCATAAAAAGTGTGGCTCAAATGGCTTAAAATTATATGACGTTGTTTTGGGCGTAAAACGATGCAAAACGACGTCGTTTTGACAGTTTTGAGCCATTTGAGCCACACTTTTTGTGGCCTTCAAACATTTTTCGGACACTTTTGCTCATGCTGGTCATTTTCTTGTCCTCGTTATTTTATTTTTAAGAGTAAATTTTGTTTTATTTTTCTCTTTGAATTCTTTCTATCCATATTCGGAGCTGCCTTTAAAGCATCTCCAATTGTGTTCTATCTTCGATTCCTTTAAGCTGTCTTTTGGCTTAGAGATTTGGGAATAAATTTGAAAAGAGAAAAGAAAAAAAAAAGATAAGATAAAATGTGAATAAAATATGCTTATATTTCATATAATTTCACATATTTTTTTTTTCTATTTTCTTTTCAAAATCTCTTCCCAACTCCTCCAACCAAACACAGACTTTGGCATTGGCTTTTTGGCTAAAAAAGTACAAAAGGCAAAATAAGCTAAATAAGTTAATAAAATAAAATGTCACATCTAAACTAGAATCATTTTACTTTTTCTTTCACAAAAATTAAAAAAGCTAAAAAAATTCAAACCAAACAAATTTTTAAGGGGAAAGCACCAATAAATCCCAAATTTAGAAATGTTAACCCATTTAGTCCCGAAAGTTTTTTGTTAGACTAATAGGTCCTATTTCCCAAGAAGCTTACTATAGGCATTTTTTAGATTTCTCTTCTTTTCAAACATCAAACATTATTCATCCAACATCAAATATTAGACTTCAAACATTGTTGAAAATTACAATAATGTTTCAAACATTAGATTTCAAACATCTAATGTTCATCAGATTTCAATAATGTTTGAAATTATAGAATGAAACACATCAGATTCATTTACCATCATGAACATCAGATTTCAATAATCTAATGTTTACCATCATGAACATCAACGTCAGAACATCATGAACAAACATCGTAAAAAATTAGATTTCAAACATCAAAAATTAGATATCAAACATCAGATTTCAAACATCAAAAATTACAATAACGTGAAAAATTGCAATGTTTGAAATCAGGTTTGAAATCAGATTTCAAACATCAGATTTAAAACATCAGATTTAAAACACCGTGAAAAATTACAATAATGTTTCAAACATTAGATTTCAAACATCTAATGTTCATCAAATTTCAATAATGTTTGAAATTGTAGAATGAAACATCAGATTTATTTACCATCATGAACATCAGATTTCGATAATCTAATGTTTACCATCATGAACATCAACGTCAGAATATCATGAACAAAAATCATCTAATGTCTGTTGTTGATATATGTTTGATGTTTGGTGTTAACCCATTTGATGTTCGATGATGTTTTGGGTAATTTTCGAACATCAAACATCAACAAAAAAATATGTGTTCAAGCACATTCAAAATATGTTTGATGTTAACCCATTTGATGTTCGATGATGTTTTGGGTAATTTTCGAACATCAAACATCAACAAATCAGATCAACATCAACAAAACATCATCAACACGGTGATGTTCTACCCTCAAATCGGATCGAATATCGAATTTGTGATGTTCTTCAACACAGTGATGTTCTTGAATGTCGGATCTGTGATGTTCTCCCTCTGCAGGTGCAAACTCTTCAACCTCTCCAGAATCCCCCAAATTCAATCACATACACATCTCTCTATAGTCTATACCTATATATCTACATCCATGAATCTGCAAATGAGGAAAAAATTGAAACTTATTGGGTTCTGTTCACTGATCTCCAAGATCTGTGTTAGTGTCTTTTCGGTTACGGGTGGCGCCGTCACAGGGTTACTCTAGCCTTATCGTGATGTTGTTGTTGTTCGATTTGTACCCAATCTGATGTTTAGATTTGTTGTCTCTTTTGTTTTGCTGGTATTTTCAATCTAGAATGGTGAATGGTGAAGTATGATTGTTTGCAAGAATGGTGAAGTATATGCGATTGATGAGAGAGGGAGACAGATGAGGAGTTTCTGATGAAGATCGAAAACATTAACATGAAAAGAAACGTATTTTTATTTTATAAAAATTTTAAAAAGAGGAAAAAAATTAGGTTAATGTTTGGGCGAAGAAAAATGAATAATCTTAATGTTGTTTTGATGATGATGTTTGATGTTGTTTGATGATGATGTTGTGAGGTTTGATGTTGTTTTGATGATGTTATTGTGATGTAAAAAAAGGACTAAATGGTTTATAAAAAAACACTCAGGACTAGATGGAGTAACATTTTTCCATATAGGACTTATGAGTAATTGCTCCAATTTTTAATCTCAAGTTAAATAGTCAAAAAAATTACAAAATTAACTAAAAAAATCAATTATCAAACGACAACTAATCAAAAGTTGAATATGGATTACAACTTTTTTTGAAATATACCTCTAGGCTATGATTAAAGGGAAATTACCATTCGGGATCGGTCTTCAAAAATTATTATATGTTAATAAAAAAAATATATAATTTTAACCATTAATATTTATAATATATATATTTTTTTAAAATAATTTTTCAGACTATCATTAATGTCACGCCCCAAGCTCCGTGACAATGCCGTACACTCATTTAAGTGAGCATGCAAGGCTAAGAGTCCAACACATAACCAACAATGTAAAATACTCAAATTAAATCCTTAAATATCAAAATGCTTAAATCTATAAAAATAGATAATTCTTATCATATAAAATTGTCCACCAAGTCCATTAATATAATCCACTAACCAAAATAATAATCGAAGTACCAAGTCCATTAATATAATCCACTAACCAAAATAACAATCTAAGTACTTAAATCATAGTCCTACTCTCGGCACTCCCCGAGTAAAAATCCCGCGTAGCTCTATTTCTTAGAATCTGAAAAAATAAATAAAATAAGGGTAAGCTACACAACTCAGTAAATAACCAATCATCATTGCTTGCTGGATCAAGTATACAAAAAAAATAAATAGTCGATAACCAATAAATATAATTTTTGCTACAATTCAATAAATGAACAATTATTTGTAAGATGGTTTCATAGCTAAAAATAAACAATGTACAATACATTTTAATTGAAAAGCCAACAAGATAATTCAAAGTAAATTCGTCGTTCAAATCGATGGTTCATGATTTGACTCACAAAACTCAAGTCTTGGTGACTACGGTCACTTAGCCTGTGACAAGGCGCAGAACCACACATAGGCCAGTGATAAAGCTCCAAAAGAAACTAGTTTCTTTGCCAATAAATAACCTTCATTGGCTAGGGTCCAAATCGTAGCCAGACTAGAGTGATGTTCAAAATTCAAACAATACACAAATTTTAAATAAAACATTTGATATTTTCAGAATAAACGTTTAGTACAATTTTCAGAATAGTTTCACAAAATATTCAAATAATTTTCATAATAATATTAGATACTGTTTTATACTTGACCCATATTTTATTTTAAGAGAACATGAATGCTATAAATAAATACTTATAATTTTAAACGATTCAATAGGAATAAAAATGTACCAACAGTGATAGAGGGTTTCTTACCTCAAAGGCTTAGAAATAATATTCCAACACCAACTCCAAACACCCAGCTCCACCACTTCAATCACACAAACCTAATAAACAAAACCTTAAATAAATTAATATTTTTACATGTTACATACACCCACAAAAGCCCCACCATATGTAATTTTGGAGGATTGGTTTGGTTGAAGTAATTTTTTTGGGTTTATTTTAATAATCCCTTCATGTTTTAAGTATGTGTATAGATCATTAATAAATTTTGAAAAAATGAATAAATTACAATAACCTTCTCTTAACTTTTAAGAAAAATATAGCAAGCTTGAAATGTTTGGAATAATTACACTTGTGTTCTTGTAAGGTTTTTGAATTCCTATAACATTTTGCCCTCCTAACTATTTGTTATGCTAAGAAAAATTTGTCCTCTCTTTCTATCTTTTTTACTTTTAATTAAAAATTTGCTTGTACATCGTTAGCATTAGTTACTCTTGTTTTATCATTATTAAAATGGAAGTCGGTATAATTATATTAAATTTGTAGTTTTATTACATTTTCTCAAATCTCAAAGGGCAAATTTCATGCCAATAAAGGTTAGTGTAATTTACCCTATTTTTGTTTATTTGACATTACTTGTACAATACACATCTGTTAGGTCCCTTGATTGTCAAATCCGGGTACAAAACTTTGGGTTGAACAAGTTATAATTTTCCTGTGTTTTTGTTCTTTCCGCTCGAGCGGGACCATTGGCGCTCGAGCGGATATTGTAGTCTCTCAGTATTTTGACAGGTCTGTAAAAATACTGGAAGGCATGATGTCGCGCTCGAGCGGGTCATCAAGCGCTCGAGCGGAACTCTATTTTGTCGCTCGCAGATTTTGCTGAAGACGCTCGAGCGGGATGTTGGCCGCTCGAGCAGAGATCGTGGACTCAGGATTCCTATTTATATCTGTTTAGGTTGTTTTTAGGACTACTTTTTCCTAGATCTTATTCAAGAGTCCTAGGGTTTTGTTTAAAGTTTTGTTCTGAGGTTTTTTGTAAGTTTTCCTTGATGTTTTGAGATGAGTTCTTCAATCATGATCTAAGATACATACATCAAGGAGTTGGTTACTTTAAATTCAAGAGAGAGATCTCTTCGGTGGATTCCGAAGATTCAAGCGTAGAGTATCAAAAGGAGTTTGATTATGTACGTAATCATTCATTCGACAAGTGAAGTTGTGGATTCAACTTCAGGATTGATCAGTTCCGAGACGAAGGCGTGGTGAAAGAGTTACAAAAGATTCGAAGGCAAATTGACTGAGTGGGGTAATTTGTGTGTTATCTTTGTAATCTTTCTTACTTCAGTAGTGGATTGATTAGTGGCGTTTCACCCGTGGTTTTTGATTACAATTGAAGGTTCTTCAATTGTGGTTTTTTCCACGTAAAAATTGTTTGTGTCGATTTATTGTTTATTCCGAAAAACAAACAATCTAAATCACTTTCGTAAGTGCTTGTTGGTTTAGATTGTGTGTTTTGGATACTTGGGATTTGAAATATTTTAATCTTGATCTAATCACGAATCACTTAAGATTTTCATTCTAATTTCATGTCAACAAATTTAGACCTGTGTCCACAATAACTTAGGGTTTTATTCATATATAATTTTACTTCTTCCTCTGTAAACTTTTTTGTCTCTTATTTAGTTGAGTTGATAAATTAATTTTTTTTCAAAAAACTAAACCCTATTCAAAGTCCACAATAAAAATTGTATATATCATCTTATTCTTTGATGTTAGGATGAATATTTTTAATTGAAAATATTGTGTATCCAAAAATTACTTCACATGACGTAATGTTATGATCATATTGATTTTATCATTTATAGAGTAGCGAAATAAATTACGGCAATACACAAGATTTTTCTTTTTAGTACATACTAAACTAACAAGTTCATTGAAATAGTTGATAAGTAGGGTATATATAATATGACAAGGTGAGGGACGTATATAGTATAAGTAATAGAATAATAATGTGTTAACCTTAATGCTGTGTTTGGTTGAGGGATTTGGGGAGAGATTTAGAAAGGGAATGGGAAAAGGTGTGTGAAATTAGGTGAAATGTAAGTATATTTTATTCACATTTCACCTAACTTTTTCCTTTTCTTTTTCAAATCCCTCCTGAAATCCTCTAACCAAACACAGCGTGAAAGTTTTTTCGTGACTACTAGAGTTGACCCAATTAGAGATATCTTTAATAATTGGGTGGCTCTATTAACTTGTCCAAAGGCATAAAAACACAGTATGGACCATCAAGGCACACAATCAAATATGTAACATAAAGGGATGTAGTCACATGGGATTGTCTTTACATGATGTGATTTGTAAGACTTTAGTATGCAAAAACAAACAACAAAATTACATATACAAAATGGACCATAAAATTAATCACAGCCACATAATATATAAGTGAAATAGTTTGAGTGAAATTATATATTTTATGATGGGTTTATCATTTAACATGTATAACTGTGATTGTTTTATGTAATGAGTTTTGTGTTTGTAAACTTGTTAATGGACAAAAGAATTGGGCATTTCTTTAGTACAAATATTGATTGAACCATTTAGATTGATAATTTTTTAGTATTACATTGTCTATTTTGATGATTAATTCTAGTCATTTTTTAGGCTTATATTTATAAATAATTTATAAAAAAAATTAGGTCAATTTAATAATGGGAGAATTTTAACACAAGGGGATAGATAAAAAAAAATTACAAAATAATGTGAGGTGTAAGTAGTTTTGTGATGGGATGCAAGTGACTCATGTTTGTATAATTTTTTTTTTTCTCCCATTCTTTAATAATTGTATGCATCTAATTTATTGTTAAAAAATAGACGACAAGTATAATTTTAATAGTACACTAAAAAAAAGTCATTTTGTATTGAACAATTCGAAGAGAAGTCCATCCTAGACAAAATTATCCTTATAAATAGTTAAATAAGCAGATATCAAGCAGCCCCATTATGTTTGATAAGAAAGGGGACAAATTTTAAATTCCAAACTGGGGGGACCCAAAGTGTAGTGGGGGGCTTTATGTAGAGGATGAGGTTGCGCTGATAGTGATTGTGTTTTGGCTTCATTTAAATCAATGAATGTGTGAACAACTTGCCATATCATTAAAGTATTTTCTAGATATGGATAGATAGATAGAAATAACACAGGAGAGGAGAGGAGAGGATAGATAAAGACATGGCAAAGAAGAAGCTGTGTTTTGTTGGGTCATTTGTTGTTGTTGTGGTGCTCAACCTAGTCTTTTGCGCAGAAACATTGAGCAGACATGAGTTTCCATTCCCTCCTAGTCTTTTGCGCAGAAACATTGAGCAGACATGAGTTTCCATTCCCTCCTGACTTTGTTTTCCGTTCAGGAACCACTACTGCTTATCAGGTTTGATTTATTATTCATTATTATGCTCTTTTTTTTTTTTGGGAGGCTCAAAATGCAGAACATGGATTTGGATTATATAATGAAAGAAGATTCTGATTAATGTTGTTATTTTTTACAATTATGTGCATGTGTGTGTTGTGTGTATAAAAGTCAGAGGGAGCTGCATTCCAAGACGGAAGGACTGCTAGCATTTGGGACACTTTTGCTCATGCTGGTCTTTTTCTTGTCCTCTTTATTTCATTTTTAAGAGTAAATTTTGTTTTATTTTTCTCTTTGAATTCTTTCTATCCATATTCGGAGCTGCCTTTAAAGCATCTCCAATTGTGTTCTATCTTCGATTCCTTTAAGCTGTCTTTTGGCTTAGAGATTTGGGAATAAATTTGAAAAGAGAAAAAAACAAAAAAGATAAAATATGAATAAAATATATTTACATTTCATATAATTTGACACATTTTTTCTTTTTATTTTCTTTTTCAAATCTCTTCCTAAATCCTCTAACCAAACACAGACTTTGGCATTGGCTTTTGGCTTAAAAAAGCACAAAAGACAAAATAAGCTCTCCAAAATTTTAAAGCTCTCCAAAAAGTAAAATGATTCTAGCTAAATAAGTTAATAAGACAAAATATACTAAATAAGTTAATAAGACAAAAGAATAATTGGCTATGTTTATATTTGGTTTAAAAATTTTAAAGCTCTCCAAAATGATTTCAAAACTGACTTATTTGACAAACTGAATTCAGAAGAATTTTAATAAATTTAATTTAAACTGTTTGGTTCATTTAACTTGAATGAATAATTGGCTATGTTTATATTTGGTTTAAAAATTTTAAAGCTCTCCAAAATGATTTCAAAACTGACTTATTTGACAAACTGAATTCAAAAGAATTTTAATAAATTTAATTTAAACTGTTTGGTTCATTTATCATCCTGACCAAAAACTGATTGATATATGTTTCCAACTCAAAACTTTAAGGGAAAGCGCAAGGAGCCACTGGGGACGTAGCATGTGATGGATACCACAAATACAAGGTGTTTTTCCTTCTTTTTTTTTCTATGCTTTTTCCTTTCAAGAATGATATATATTTACTTGTTTATTTTACTTCTTTATGTCATCGACTTATATGGTATTATATAATTAGTTTGCTCTTAATAATTATTTTCAAACAAGAAAATTAATGAGGTATACAAAATGGTGGTTTAACATGAATGCTGATTTTTAACATGAATAACATCACAAACTTATTGGTAGCTGGAGTATGGTCCATGTGTGATTTGGAGCATGAATCTCTTGCAGGAAGATGTCCAACTCATGGTGGAAACAGGGTTGGAGGCTTATAGGTTCTCCATATCTTGGTCAAGACTTATCCCTAGTAAGATCACCTAACTGTCTGTCTCTCACGTAATTACCTTGATTATTACACAAAAAGCAAAGTCTGGTTCTTCTCTCTCACATGCTTGTGCTCACTCTCTTTTACAGATGGAAGAGGACCTGTCAACCCAAAGGGTTTAGAATACTACAACAATCTCATCAATGAACTTGTCAAACATGGTTACACACAAATTTGAATTTTCCATTATAAACATTGCATTACTTTTTGTTAGCATTTGAGAAAATATCAAACCAGTTTGTTTTTCTTGTAAAAGCAAGAAGAGGTACTTCCAAAATGCTAACCAAATGACACTTGGCTTCTCTTTCTTTTTCTCACTCTGCCATAGATATAATTTTATCTTTATCAAGCAGGAATCCAACCACATGCTACATTAACGCACGTTGACCTACCTCAGGTTCTTCAAGATGAATATGGAGGATGGCTTAGTCGGAAAATGGTGTATGGTTCTCAACTTCCATTAGCCCTTGCCTCATTCAGTTGTCGCCAGGGATGGACCTGGGGGGCTGCAGGGGGCAACCGCCCCCCCAAAAGTTTTGAAAACCCCCTACTATAGTAGTATTATATGCTCCCTAATTTTTTTTTTTAAAGGAAAATTTAATACTGCCTTTGAGATTTTCTTTTGAGAAATTTTAGTAGTATTCTAGGCCTAAATGTCCAAGTTTTTTTTTATTGCACATACATTCACCCCTGAAGTTAGAATAATGTGCCTTTCTTTGGTTCTTGCGCTTCTGGGACGTGCCCTCATTGAAGTAGAAATTGTAAGATGTAATTGTAACAAAATTACCAATTTGTTGATGCAGGAGAGACTTCACAGCATATGCTGAGGTGTGCTTTAGAGAATTTGGAGATAGGGTTTTGTATTGGACAACAGTGAATGAGGCCAATATATTTGTAGTCGGTGGTTATGATATAGGAATAATACCCCCTCAGCGGTGCTCTTCCCCATTTGGAATGAAATGCGCTGTGGGCAACTCCTCAACTGAGCCATACATTGCTGCTCATCATATCTTGTTGGCACACTCATTAGCTGCAAGATTGTACAAGAAAAAGTACCAGGTATATCTTACATGAGTTTTTTTGCAAGGATATTAAGGAATCTACTGTTATCCCCTTGCTGGGACTTAGCCCAGCAAGGGGATAAGGAATCACTGTTATCCATATAAATTGGATAACAGTTATCCCCTTGCTGGGACTTAGCCCAGGCCCACCTCCATAATTTGAACTATTCTCTATTCATCTTAAATGGTTTGAATCATGGAGATAGGTCTTAGGGTGGGCCCCACCAATGGGCACAATGCACAACATCGACCCCTTTTCTATACAAGTATTGCTTCAACATTATAAACTTGTACCCCTACCTCTTGATCGTTTCTCCCCTTTTCCTAGTCAGCCTTTCTCGAGGCCTTTATCAATCTCATTCCAACCATTACCCTAATTCTTTCCCTTTAGGGATAACAATCATTTCAACAGTTCTGCTTTTTTTCCTCCTTGTGAACTTTGACAACTTGCCAACCTTATCCAAACCTATATTTGGGGGGGAAATTTGAAAATTTATCTATATTGATTCCACACTAATCATCTTGAGACCTCTCTTTTTTTATTTTTTATTTTTATAATAGTTAATTATGACAATCATGAAAGAAACATCACATAAAGTGTTCATGACTTTGGGGAAAATGTGATGAAACAGGGCAAGCAACAAGGATTCATAGGGATAAATGTATATGCTTATTGGCCTCTTCCTTACACAAATACAACAGAAGATGTGATTGCAGCCCAAAGAACCAAAGATTTTCTTATTGGTTGGTGAGTCACACAATTCACTAACCTAAATAGATTAAATGACGTCTATACATCTTGGTATTATTATTTTAACAAACTATGGGTTGTTTGGTTGTGTTTTCATTTTTTCTTGTTTTCGAAAAGTAAAAAAACTAATTTCTATTGCAGGTTTATGGGTCCCTTGGTATTCGGGGATTACCCTGACATAATGAAGAAGAATGTCGGCACAAGACTTCCTGCATTTACAAAAATTGAATCAGAACAAGTTAAGGGTTCATTTGATTTCATAGGAGTGAATCATTACACCACAATTTACACTAGGGACAAATCTAGTAGCTTGAAAATGGATACCAGGGACTTCAATGCAGACATGGCTGTGAAGTTGATATGTACGTGTTACTCTCACTACATTACTGACTAAACTCAAGAAAAGTTATTTGTAAGATGAATTTACTTTCAGCTTTCCCTTCACTCAACTTGATTGAATTTACTGATGTACTCTGCACAATCTCATGTTTGAATTTACTCACGTCTGTTTCCGAGACAACGTTTTCTGCATAAGATATTTTTTTATAAAATGCATTTCACAGAAAATAATTTTCTTTGGTTGCAATCCTGACAATGATGTGCTAGATGTTGTGATCTCTCTCTCTCTCTTTTTTTTTTTTGGCTCATGAAAAACATCCTTATTTTTTTTTCTCCCTCAAATGCCAGAAATACATTAAAACATTTTTTTTGGAAAAATATTTTCAGTAGAAAACATTATTAACACATTTACCAACTTGCATAGTTTGATTTATGTCTTCTCATTTGATGAGCTAACCATGATGGTACTGTATCAAGTTAATCAATTTTCCAGCCCTTATAACTGTCAATTGATTGATGGATCTAATATATATGGGTCACTGATTTTTGGGTGGTTGTAGATGAGGAAGGTGATACATCGTCAGGTGAGGTGAGGGCTTAAAAACAAATCTTATGAAGTTGGTTTTACTATTGAGGCCTATTCATTTTACTAATAAGTTTTTCTTTTTTCTATGGACTCAGCTGGCTCTTGTACCCTCGGGTCTGCTTGCACTTTTGGAGTACTTCAAGCAAAATTATGGAAACCCTCCTATTTACATCCATGAAAATGGTCTCTCTTTCTCTCTCTCTCTCTCTCTCTCTCTCTCCAATATGTCACAAGTGACATTGTCCTCAACAGATTTAGGATCAAATATTTGTGCGGGTCTTGGGCAATGTCACTTGTAGCATTGAATAATTTTTCGCTTTTAACTCATTTTTTTCTTTCTACTGTGTCATTATCTAATTGTTGAAAATTTATGACTTGGTTTAATTTGGATAGGTCAACGGACATGGAAGAATGCAACATTGAGTGATCCAGGAAGAGTGAAATATATACAAAGTTTCATTGGGAGTTTGCTTGATGCTATGAGGTATGTTTAGTTTTACACCAAGTTGTAACACCACAGGGACATGCGAAAAAGTTGCACACAGGAAAAAATTCACAAACAAAATGAACAGAAAATGAAGTGTATGATCATGATTTAAATCTGAAACAGGCTGGCCACATTCAAATGAATCTGGGTAACATGTTTCAATGGGACTCTGATTCGTTCTAACTTTGTGGTCTGATAGAATTTGGAGCACACATTGAAATTTTTTGAGTATGTTTCTGTGATTTTTTCTGTGCATGTAGCAATATTGTTAAACATCACACGAAAAACTGTTATTCTTTAATAATCTTGGCCTTTCCTAGATCTGATATAGTTATTTTTTTGGTTCTTTTCAATTGGACATTGTGGAAGGAATGGATCAAATGCAAGAGGGTATTTCTATTGGTCATTCATGGATTTATTCGAGTTATTAGACGGCTATGAATCTTGCTATGGCCTCTACTATGTAGATTTGAATGACAAGGATTTGAAAAGATACCCTAAACTCTCTGCACATTGGTACTCCAATTTTTTGAAGGGACAGAGCATGAATCTGAATGGTGCCACTGAAGTTCAGAAAATGATAGATTCCACTCTTTCTCAATCTCATTCTTCTCAGTAGCTTTGCTTTGCATAACTGAATGCCAGTTTGTTTACTCAAATGAATGTTGCTACTGTTTTGTAATTGGCATGACCAAGTATCATATATCTGTCGATTATTGTGAGAAACACAAAATTTGTCATAATTTTCATTTATTTGTCGAGAGAAGATTTACTTTCTGATGGATTTTTCAATATTGAGTTTCCTTTTAATCTCTTTATCAAGTAAGTTATTCTTTGTTACACATACACAATTAATGATAGGGAGTATCCTTTTACCAGAAAATCATGATATTTTAATCGTGTAAATATTATATTTTAGTACGTTATATTGTTAGAATTTTATATTTTGACAAACTTGTTCCAGTAGTGTATGTCATTTTTTTAACACAATCACCATATGACTCAGTGATTGTATATATTTATTATATACTCTCATAACATATGTGTCTTTAGTTACATGGTTTTCTTCTTTGGTTATGACTAATTTTTTTTTTTAAATTTTAATTATGACATTAGTTTGAAATAATTATAATTTTTTTATTTTTTTTATTATGACTCATAAAGTATATAGTTATGTCATTTTTTTCTGTGGTTATAAGGTGCATATAATACACACCTTTTGAGAGGTTGTGTACCATAGTCTTTCCCATCTATCTAATTATGTGTATTTACATGTTTTTAAATATCAAAATTTTTAAAAGCAATATTTATTATTTTCACCCTTTGAGGGTATATATATATATACCATAATCTTTTCCATCTAATTATTCTTCTCTAAAAAAACTTCAATTTCTTAATTTACTTCAAAATTACATCAGCTAAAATAAATAAAATACACAATTTACTATAGTATAATTTTGTAGCACACCTTGTAACATTGTACAGTGCCAAACTCACCAACTTAGCATTAACAACAAAAGGTAAAAATTGTTTTAGTAGATGAAAGAAAACATAGAGACCTGCAATTCTTAAAACAAAATAACCCTATTACTAATAAAACATGAAATAATAAGGGTTTATTTGAGATTTGAATTGACTTTTTAACTTTTTAATTTTTTTTAATTATTTTAACCTGAGACTAAATAGTCTTATTTATAATGAATTTTTTGATTTTTTTTTGACTTTTATAAGAATAAAAAAAAATAATTATAATTTAAATGTAACATTTTATCTTATTAATTTTTTAACCTATTTTATCTTTTATCTTTTTGTGACTATTTTAACTCCATAATCAATTCCCAAATGAATGCTAAGACGAGAGAGAAAAAAGATACCAAAAATAGTGAGTGTATGCCAAAACAACCATCATCAAGAGCTACCATGAAGCCTGGCAGTTAATTTTGTACATATTGTTTCTTTGATTTATACCTATTATATATCTCTTTGCTTTTTCTCTATATAAAAGCAGAAAACAAAAAATCAAAAACTCCTGGTTGAAGTAATAATAAATAATAAAAAAACACTTTCAAAAACAACAAAAAATGGCAAAATCAGAAGTTTAAACAATAACTCAATGTGAGTTTTGATCATGAGCCCTTCCAAATTGAAGTCATCCAAATCCGAAATAGGTGTTTTGGCCCAAATCTAACCCCTTTGAAAGGTTGCCATATCCTGCATTAAGCTCCCAAGAATGTATGAAAGTCTATCTCAACCACACTGATCACCCATTTCAAGTTTTCCCAAAACAGTTTTTACAGTTTCTCGGGCAATATATATGACAAGATGGGTCTTGTCAAAATTTACAGAAACCAAATATTGTTATATATCTGTTCTCATACAAATTTCCTGGTTCCAGTTGTTTATATTCAGATAGCCGGGATAAATAGGCTTAATAGATTCCTGCAAATAGGCGAGCAAATGAGTCTCTTTCAAGATCAGTGCCTATTATGCCAAAAGCTTGCAGAACTGTTGCCAGAATCAGAGCCACTGGCAGGGTGATGAAATGAACCCCGACCAGAGTCCCTGTCAAATGAGTTAACGGGGAGATGAGATGAACGGTCTCTTTCCCATACGTGGATCCGATTCAGCAACGAATTTTCTGCTTCATGGAGGTTTTGGCCCGATGAGCCTGGAGGAGGGGGGAAGATAAAAAAGCCTCCAGTGTGATCAGATTGAGAGGTTGGTGGCACCAGTGGTGGCAAGCCCCTCGGGCCATTGAATCTCCTGACACCAGGAATGGCAGGTGAAGGTATGCCTGTGGGATTGCTCAGATGTTGCTGATGATGAATGGCATGAGAAGTTTGTATTCTTTCGTGAGGCCGATTGTTTCTGCCAGAATGAACAATTGATGAGAAGAATGAGACAGCACCTTTAACAACAAATCCATGAAAATGAACATGGGCATCCATATTTAGCATCAGAATCATCATAGAATGCTCCAAATATTAAGATGAACTTCATAGGAGTACAGTACTACATTCTACAATTCTTTGCAGACCAAACTACAAAGAAAAGGAGTGTAATTTGCAGCCTGTCATCACCCTTTGTTCTTTCATTTTTTTTTTTTTTGTTCTTTTTTTATTTCAGAAGTGTGCTTCACAAAAACCAAAAATCTATTTGAGGGGTGAAAGAGATACTGCATTCAATAAAGTGTTGACTTCGCACCATCACTGAGATAAGAACCAATAATAGGTTCACAAGCCACGTTCAATGCAATGAAGAAATCAAAAATCCTATATGTTGCCTCAGCATTTAGCAAAAACAACTTACCCATGACCATAAGGAAATGGATGCGCAAATGACCCAGATCTTGTCATAGCATCATATTCACCCCTGGAAGATCTCAGAGTTGGAGGAGGAACTGAAGCCTGATCGGTGCTGTTACTATGAGCGCTGCTTGTGGAGAAAGGATGGGAATGATGACCCCAAGTCTGATATTGAACATCAATCACTGGAAAACCGTGGGCAGTAAAGATCTCATTGTGTCCAGATATGCCATTCCAGTGATGATTGAAGTTGGGATCTTCACTCTCATTCGTGTTTGAGGAAGCCGGTGGAAGAGGCCTGAAGTATGCAACATATGAATGAGCCACGGGTGATGCTGCTGTATGTTCAGCAAATAAAGCATGTTGTCTCTGTAAGTTATGATCTGCACCAAGAACATTTTTCGATTACATTGGGTTGCTTGGGGACCACTGAATTTTCAATCAAGAATCAAAACAAAATTCTTACATGTTGTTGATGGCGGTTCCACTTCCCTGAAATAATGTAAATGTTAGATAGCAATAATGATGAATTGTGGAAAAGACTATTATACTTGTTTGAGCAATGATTCGTGCTTTCAACAAGATTCCTCGAATAAGGGTCGGTGGTATTGTTTCATCGTTTTTGTTTGTATTTAGTTTTCATTCAGAAATGAAAACAATGTATAAGTTAGGATAAAATCTTTTCAAATTGTTTACCTTTTCTTGTGCACCTGAATTTTCAAAGAAAATCTAATAGAGTTTTAAAAAGTTTCCTGAAAATAGGATGTTTTCAGGAAATTTTCTTGAAAACATTTTTCGGTAAAGCCAACAAGAGTGGGATGTAACTCCAATGAAGCTGCAGGCAACATCTAGAGTTTCACAACCTCGCAGTGAGTAGGCAACCAAATTAAAGCAATGCTACTTATTTGGATGAGTTACAAAACTGAAAAATTGGGCTGAAATTCCTTCAGGATCACATGCTTGTTAACTGAAACATATTAAATGCAGAAGTACCAGTAATCATCATCAACATAAGCATTTCAATCAACCCATAGTGATTTTTCATACAAGTAGGCCAACCAAAATGCACTAGGCAAGAGACCTCCATAAGCATGAGCAAGCCCATTAACCCATTGGTTAGGGCCTTGAAAGGGTGCTCATCAGGTTAAGAGTTCAACTCCCAACACCTCCCTCCCTTTCTACCTTAGGTAGTAGACTTATATGATTAGATGTAATTTACAATCACTGCAACCTGAATGTGAAAGAAGCAAAAACTATAAAACAGATTGATGAAACTGTAGTGAAAAAAAAGAACTCCTGTGTAAGACAATATTCAGAAATTTGGCTTACTCAAAAGATGAGTGCACTCGTGCCAATCCACTGAACGGACACCAATGAACGCTAAGCGGCTGCAATAAAATATAAGAAACCGCAATTAATTTGCTTTTAGTTTTTCAAATGTGGTTGGAAACATAACTAGAGCTTGTCTCCATAGATGTATATTTTGTTCAAGGGGAAACTCACGACAGTCACTATACATTGTTCAGTTGTTTGTACAATTGGGTAATTGCATGACTCATTGGATTTAATTGGGTTTCTCTAGCTGCAAACCTCCTTTTATAAAGCTCTCTTAAAGGTTTTGAAACAACCAGACACATTTTGATCCAATAATAAAAATAAAAATAAGTATGCCCAGTTTAGTACTCAGTAATTGGCGCCTGGGAGGGGTAATAATAAAAATAATGATAATAATACAAACTTTAGAGGTGCGTGTGATATCTTTAAGGATGCAAGTTCAGTGTCTCAATATTGCTCCTGCTTCAATCATGGCAAACTTGTACCTATTCATATTTGGGCAAGGTCTAGTAAAAAGGTCTTCCTAGGTTTGGCTCAACCCAGTACGAGTTCTGTAACAAAATAAAATTCATAATATAAGTCTTTCATTTTATATACTAAAGTACGTATTTGCCTGGCCATCAGGGCTCAATATTCCATAATATAAAAGTTTGGCTTAAGCACATCCACCCTCCACCCAAACATAAAAAATGAAAACGAAAACGAAAAAGGAGAGGTAAAAACAGGCCTTGCACTCACCATTTCAGAATAACTTAACTCATAAGGATCCTCATCAGGAATCCATTCGTCCATGCTAAACTCAGGAAATGAACATGCAGAGCCACTTGCATATAACCATCGACCTCTCTCAACCTTACGACAATTTGGGCATTGCATTGCTCCTTTTATATTGAATGCAGACTGAACCGATGCAATCTACATAGAATACAGAATATTGAAAATACAAATATGCTAGTATCATTAAAACAATACGGAAAAAATATATATATGCATAAATGATTTTCCCCATTCACATGGTACTACTAGTAAAACATGTAAAATCAGTGTATTAAAAAGCGCGCTTAGGCGCGCGTCTAAGCCCAAGGCGAGATGAAGCACAGCCTTGCGCCTCAAGCATGGCGAGGCGAGGCGACATGGGCGAGGCGCAGCTTAGGCGACGAAGCGCGCGCTTTATTATAAAGCCTGAGGCATGCGCTTCATCCGCTTCAAATGTTTTTCACTTCAGCAGCCCCCATTTGTTTACTGTGTGGATACCCACATGGGATAACATCTCATTTACATCATAAAATGATACAAACGTGGGTCAACAGAGCAAAAACACAGGTTCTCTTCTCCTCTCTCTCTTCTTCTCTTCTCTGGTTCTCTTCTCTTCTGCTTCGACTATTCTTCTCCTCTTCTGGTTCTGTTATACCCTGTTTTTTTTTTTTGGTTCGATTCTTCTCTTCTCCTCTGGTTCGATTCTTCTCCTCTTCTTCCTTTCGTTGTCTTCTTCTCGCTTTTGTCTCGCTCTCTCTCTCTGTCGCCTTCCCTCTTGCGATCGCGATCTCTCTCTCTCTCTCCTGTCTCGTTCGCGATCTCTCTCGTGTTCTCTCTCGTGCTGACGATCTATCTCTCTCTCTTTCTTCTGTCTCTCCCTTTATCTTCTATTCATATATATATATATATATATAATATTATATAATATCTATTATATAATATATAATATACAATATACTTATAATATATAAAATATAATTGATTTATATATATAATATTATACAATACCTATTATATAATATATAATATACTTATAGATAATATGTAAAATAAAATACATTAATTATTTAAAAATAAACACATGTATATAAAATAAAATAAAATAATTAATTAAAACACATTATTTAAAAAATATAATAAATAAATAAAATAATATATATATATTAAAAAATTAATTGTTTTTTTTCTTCTTATTAAAAAAATTAATAATATACATATTAAATATTTGTTTATTATTAAAAAATTAATTATTTTTTTTCTTCTTATTAAAAAAACTAATAATATACATATTAAATATTTGTTTATGTAGAAAATTGTGCTTTATTAATATTTTGCTTAACTTCTATAACTTGCGCCTCGCCTCGCGCCTCGGGGCTTAGGCTCTAGGTGACCTTGGCGCCTTGATGCGCCTAGGGCTTTTTAAAACACTGTTTAAAATGCAGACTTAGGTGGCAATATTAAAGACTTTAGGTATGTAAATGCAAAGCGCAACCAAAACTTGAATGTGATAATGCATGGATGGCATCAATACTCTCCATCTAATGAAGTTCACTTGTTGAACTTAAGATCAGTAAGGACGTAAAGACTCGAGTATTACAAAGTAAAAGAAAGGGACAAAAAAAAAAAGAGTCAGTCTCATTGACTGGGAGCCTTACCAGAACTGAAGGTTGGCCAGCCACATTAAAATTCCATTTTATAAGAAAACAAATTTCTCTAGCTCAACAAGGCTTGTTTGATGGGAATAATCTATCTGAAAACACCACTAGCCATTAGCTTCAGCGGTATCTCCTGCTACCAGCAAATAGGAAGGCACAAGGTTCAATTCATAATTGGAACATTGGTGTATATTTTACTTAAAAAATAATAATTATTGTAAAAATTGCCTGGTCAGAAGTAGGGATGACAATATGAATCCGGCCCGACGGGGACCCGGACCACCCCGTCCCGATAAATAGGATTTTTCCCGAAAATTATTCCCCATAGGGCCAGGGCCGGTATTGAAAAATACATCCCCGATAATTTTCGGGCCGGGAACCGGAATAGGCTCCTGAGCCCCGGCCTCGCTCCGAAATTTCCCCGCTAATACCTATGTTGGTGTTTAGTTGTATTATAATAAATATCTAGTGTAATAGTGCATCATTATATCGGTCTAACTCACTCACTCTCTCTCTCTCTCAACTCTCTCACTTTGTCGCGCTTCTCTCTCACTCTCTCTCTTAACTCTATCACTCTCTCGTTCTTCTCTCTCAACTCTCTCACTCTCACAGTCGCCGTGTCCCACCACCACCGTTGGCCCCGACACCCTCTCTCTCTCTCTCTTCCCCTCACGTCGGTTTCTTTCTCTCTCTCCACTTTGTCTCTCTATTCTTCATGGCCGCCGCTACCGCCACCACCACCACCGCAGAAGGTCTGTCTCTCTCTCACCACCACCGAACCCACCGCCACAGCCACCATCAATCTCGCCACAGCCACGGTCTCTCAGATCTTTTTTCTCTCTCTCTCTCTCTCTCTCTCTCTCGCTTTGATCTGATTGTTGGTACATCTGTTTTTTTTTCAGATTTTTTTTTTAATTTAAATCTGTTAATGATGATGAAAACATATATTTTTTTTTTCAGATTAATTTTTTTTTTTTAATTTAAATCTGTTGATGACGATTGTTGGTTCTCAGATCTACTATGTTGATTTGTTGTTCTTGAACAAAATTAAAAAAAATTAAAAAAATCTCGGGGATTTTTCGAGGTTGGGGAAACCCGATCCCCGTTGGGGACGGGGATGGGGGGGTGATGAGTTTCCCCGCCGGGGATTGGGGACGGGGACGGAGATATTTTAACCTACGGGGATCGGGGACGGGGAGTGTGGTCCCCGGACCCGCCCCGGCCCGTTGTCATTCCTTGTCAGAAGTGCCTATAGGTGGCTTAGGACTATAGAATGCAATTATTAAAGAGCTGTTGTCTAAACTTATTTGAAAGGACAGATTCTCTATTCTATGATCCGGTAAAAAGCTTATCATTTGAAGATACTAGGCTGTTTAGTTAGAGAGTGAATGGAGGATAAAAGATGCCCCTAATAATGTTCCTAATTACATCATGTATAAGCCTCTTTTGATTTTAGGAAAGACAATTGTAGTGATCACAGAATGATCTACATTTATAAGCTCTATTGACATTGAGTCTAAAGAGCTGGTGAGTCATAGAACACTGATGCTTATTAACAAGCTAGGAGGTCCAGCTTGTGTGAGGTTGACCAGGGCAAGGAATGAGCCTTCAAGAGCTCCTAATAAGCCTTGCTTTAGCTACTTGTGAATAACTTGAGACAGTTTACACCCCTACTCCTTGTACGAGAAGCTCCATAGGATTTGTATGAACTATCTCTCATAATCAATATTCATTATATTTCTTGCAACCACATGCTTTGACAAATTAAAAAAAATCATGCCCAGCAGCAACTCAGTGAAATCAATGAAAACAAGCAGGTTCTAGAAAGTGAAGTGTTTGACAAAACATTGAACGAGCATAGCATTGAAAATCTGAGAAACTTTAGAGTAACAGGATTACGAGTACTAGCATCTCACTTGGATTTAATAAAAGTTTCTTATATTAGTGACTGTTTTGTTGCTTTCTTCTAATAATTTATGCCAAATCCAAGAGAGGTGTATTGTGTGTATGTGTGTAGACAGATAAAGTACTGAAGCTGACCCATGGACCTCCCTATCATTATTGCGATTAGTTTGTGATGCAGTTAGAAGTAAAGTAAAAGTTTCATACCAAGGAATGCGTAAGGGTTTACAAGTAATGCACTTTTCTATAAAGTGCGTTTAAGCTATTTTTGCATCATTTAAGGTAATCTAATTATTAGACAAAGTTGTACACACTACAGGTATTTACACCAGTTTGGATTAAGGAACATAATCTCCAAGTTGCAGATTATCTACAAAGAGCTCTTAATTTTGCAGCAAAGAATGGAGCCAACTTGAGTTCATAAAAAGAACTTTTCAGTTTCATAATTGGAAAATTTCTTTGCAAGACATGGTAGATTTATAGTCATTTACACAACCTACATAGCATGCGACTTGAGTATATATATTCCTTGAAATCCGCAAATTTATTACAGATTTCTTACGAGTCAAAATTCAGGGGTTGCATTTGGATTAGCAAATTTTTCTCACAAAATTTGTTCACTTAAAAAGGGACTGTTTTTGCATGAGTCAAATTCTCCTAAACAAAACGTAAGATTGTTCATAATCATTATCTTGGAGCTAGTCTTTGAAGAATTTACTTTCAGTCGCAAAGTTGCCGAGGCCTGCATTAGATGATTTTGATAGTGTTGCTAAGCTTGCCTTTCTTTGAGTTTGTCCCCCAAGAAAAGTTATGTGCAGAAAAGAGAGATTGAGTTGCTTCAATTGAATTTGAAAAGTCTGAATTTGAAAGTGGCACCCATAAATCGATGAGAGAGAGAAAGAGTTGCTTCAATTGACCCTTCAACCCTAAAGAAAGTTTGTCTCTTCAAATTATGATCTTTCTCATTAATGACATGGGACTGACGTAAGGCTTTCTGACAAATATCACTGGCCTAAAGAAATTTTCATACTTCTGTCAACATCTAACACTTGACAGGAGGAGTAATATAATCCTCTAGGCATCTTGGTTCTAACCAATCCTAAACTGATTAAATCTATCATCAATTCACCAACTATTAAAAGAAAATTTCTACACTACAACTACTTGCATAAACAAAGATTACTCATTGCTGCAACAAAACTCAATACAGTTGAGGTCTTGTCAACCCATGCAGCTCCCCAGTTACATGAATGCTATTGTCCAATCTAGTAGTTTAACTAATTAGCATCACATGACACCTTATCTTAGTCTAATGTGATCGGACGTTGATCTGGACACCCCAGTGCCAATCAAAAAATAAAAAATAAAAAAATTCCACAAACCATCATCCCACTATAAAAATAACAAAACCACTTTGCTCAATTTGACATCCCATCAACACAGTAAACCAAAGTCATTACGCCTTCTCCCTGCCACAACTTAAACTCCAGAAAGTCTAATTCGAAATGTTAGGAGAAAATTGCATAAGTCCTTCTTGTCAATCATGTCTAATCACTACTTCAAGCACAATGTTTTTGGCGCTAACCATTTGTAACCAACACATAAGATCAAACCATCTGACCTGGCTTCCACTTGTAACCAAAATGCAAAAGAAAGAGAATCCCTACTTCACTAAACCATCTAAGTTAATACAATTATATCCTCACCAAATGGATCAATCCTAGGTTTTTCCAAGTTGTGCTCAGCTCACCATCTAAATCTTAAACACCAATTACCTTTCTGAAAAAATTACCAATTGTCCAACCACATCGGGGATTTTTCATCAATCTCTTCCAAGTTTTCAAGCTTGTGTTTACATATCTAGAATTGATATTCAACTCCACAAAGATGTTCAAATCCACCCAGAGACCATGCAACTATTACTAAAACCTTAATCAGATATCAAACAGATGAATTTACACGGATACTCCCCCAAACAAGGCATCCGTTTTGTTTTTTTTTTTAACAAAAACACAATCACTTCGACATTAGGTCGTCTTCAATATAAGAAGAAAAGAAAAAGAAAAAATCAGAGACACAACCAAACACAACTCAATTCAAAATTTCAGCTGAGAAACAATCAATTTCTCAAAAAAAACAACAATGAAGAAGAAATTTTAGGGAGGAGTTTAATCACCGAGATGGAACTCGTGGCCGCATTGAAGCTTGGCTCTGGACCTGTCCCCATTATCGGTGACCAAATCGAGGCAAATCGAGCAAGCAACGGAGGAGGGGAGATCGAAGGACGACGACGACTTGTTGTCGCCGTTGGGATCATTGTCTTCTGAACCTAACATGCCGCGTTTTCTTTTCTTTGAATCGAATGAGTCAAAACAAAATACAATCGAATATTCTGACCAAGCAGAGATGAAACATATAAATACAATCGAATATTCTGACCAAGCAGTAGTGAAAGATTTTCCGGGAATCGGAGAGAAAATTTGGTAGAGATAGGTGGGAACTCAGAAGGGGGGAGAAACTTCTCTCTCTCTCTTCTCTCCGCTCTGTTTTCTCTCTGTGTCTGTGTCTGAGTTATCTGTATCTTTTTCTCTCTCTATCCGACCTGTCAGGTTACGGTCACTTCGCCGATTAAAAAATGATCACATTATGAAAATTAGATGGACGGTCGGTGGGACTAATTTTTATATTTTCTGGTTAAGTTATCATTAAGGCGTAATTTGAAAATTTAGTTAAAAGTTAAAAATTTATTTTTATTTCATTTTAAGTTATATTATTCTTTTATTTTTTTTATTTTTTTAAAAGAATAAAAATATAAATTTTAATCAATTTCTCAAAATAATTCTAAAAAACTGTTGAGCTTTATAATTTTTTTAAGTAAATAATATTCATAACCTCCGTTTGGGAAGTGGGTTGGCTTTTTGATTTTTTGGACTTTTTTTGATTATTTTAGCCTTTTGGTTATTTTAGCCTGGGCTAAAAAGCTTGGTTTGGGAAGAATTTTTTGACTTTTTGATTTTTTTAACTTTTTTTGTGAGAGAAGAGTGTAATGATTATGGGTTGGATGTGATGTTTTGTTTTTTATGGCTAAAATAACCTATTTTGTCTTTTGTGACTAAAATAGCCAAAAAGCCCCAAACTCTTCTTGCTAAACGAACCCATATGGCTTCGTTTGGGAAGCCATGGTTTGGGTTTTTTTTGGCTATTTTAGCCACAAAAAATAAAATAGACTATTTTAGCCATAACAAACAAAACATCACATCCAACCCATAATCATTATATTCTTTTCTCACAAAAAAACTCAAAAAAGCCAAAAAGCCAAAAAACTCTTCCCAAATCAAACTTTTAAGCCCAGGCTAAAATAGCCAAAAAAACTAAAAAGTCAAAAAGCCAACCCACTTCTATATGTTGTCAAAAAAGGCCGTAGTCTAAAATGATTACATTTGTTAACATTTTAAATAAATAAAAAAATACATGTCTCATATTTTTAAGGATAAAATTATAAATTTTTTCGACTTAGTGATTTAATCTCAATTAATTTAGTGACTATTTTTCATAAAAAAAAATACATATATAAGTGGTATGTGTTATGTTTTTAGAGATAAAATTATAAATTTTCTTAACTTTGTGGGTTAACCTCAACTAATTTAGTGATCATTTTCCGTAAAAAAATATTAAAGGTATTATCAATTAAACCAAAAAGATATAAAATCAAGTTATAAAAAAATGATATAAAATCTAAAATTAAATGTCAAAATTGAAACAATTAAAAGTCTAAGAAAGATCAAAATGACACTATGAATAAATGTAAAAACTATCGATGTAATTTGCCTTTTTATTATAATTTTATTTTCTATAGTATAAGATTTAATTATTTTTTATTAATTATTTGTTAATAATACAAATAAAATTATTATTATTATTTTCTTTAAATTGAAATATGTAATTTTTCATATTCATTCTTATGGCGAAAGCATTATTATTGTGATATTAGGGGTGAGCATGGTCCGGATTGGAATAAAACCAGAACCAATCCGTTATCTACGGATCCTGAAAAATTAGAACCATTCCAATCCGTTTAAATCGTGGAACCAATCCGAACCAATCCATTTAAATACGGATTGGATCGGTTTAGGACCACGGATTTATATAATTAAATAACAAAAATATATATAACACTTTATTTTCATAAAAATATAAATATAGCACCATATTAGTTTCACAATAGCAATATGTCTTTTCATAATAACGACAAACTGTTCTAGAATTTAAACAACCATAAAGAAACTAGTTCCACCATAAGTATTTAGACCATTACAAATTAACACTAAACACTAGCAAACAAAAGTAATAAAAGAAGATACTATGCAAGTTTAGGTTTGGATTTAAATTTTATATGAAATAAGAGAAGATACTATGCAGGAGGGTGTATAATAAAAATATAGACTATTTGTATACGGTCCGGATCGGTTCCAATCCGGAACCGTGAGATTCAATCCGGAACCAATCCGTGAACTACGGATTTTTAATTTTTCAATCCGGAACCGAACCACGGATTCAAAAAACCAATCCAAACCTACTGGATTGGACTGGACTGGATCGGATTACGGATTTCACGGATTCCTTGCTCAGCCCTATGTGATATAGTGTAAAATTGGCTCGCGATTCGGGGCGGGCCCGGCCCGTTTAGACCCGGACCCGAGCCCAGTCCGAAACCCTAGACCAAGGCCTGGGCCATCATTTTGAAGCTCGCCCTAGCCTGTGGGCCCAGCCCGTCGGCCCGCTCAAAGTCCACTCGAAGTTTGGCCTGCTCGAGGCCCAGGATTATTTTTAGTGAAAAATAATAAAATTTTAGTAGAAAAAATTAAAAAAAAAATTAAAAAAAAATGGCTAGGCCTGCCCAAGTCTGAGGCTAGGCCCAAGTCCACCGGGCTAACTCGAGGCCTGGCCCACTAACCCGCTTAAAGCCCAAATACCCCTGGGCTAGGGCTAGTGCATGGGCCTAATTTTTTAGCCCATAGCTCGGCCCGGCCCGAATTTTAACGAGAGCCCATGAGGCCCGACATAGGCTGGGCCGGGCTAGATTTACACCATAGTGATATATAATGCCTTAATCACTATATGTTTTTGTGGAGAAGTATTTTGTGAATGACAACAAGTGACTAAGGTGACACTAAAGTGTCAGCCGAGGTGTCACGTGGCTTGGTTATGTGCCGAGGTGATCTCGGCTATGCCGAGGTGATCTAAGGAGATACTGAAATCTGAGATGAGCGGATAAGGGACAAAAGTCTTAGAACATGGGAGGGTCTCAGTCTGGATAAAGACAAGGCTCAAGAAGAGTTCATCTCTATCTGATGAAAGTCCATGATGAGCATTGAGCTTGAGTCCATTGAAGTGAGACTTTTAATGAGATCAAGTCGCTGTTGGTTATAAAAGCAAGGCACTCTCGTGGGTCTAAGGTAAGTTCTTTCCTGTGAGTTTAAGCACAATTTGTTATCTTTGAGGGATATTGATTACTGACTTGATCGTCAAAGTGTCCCTGTGTAACACCCGTCTCCTTAATTACTTGTTAAATGATGTGATTTGTCGTAATTATGTATTTATATGCAAATTATGTGTCATGTGTTATATGTACTCTTGTGCTATGTGTTCATTGCATTAGAATAAGGAGAACAGATAGAAAAAGTTAGGAAGTAAACCTGTCTGAATAAGCGAACCATAAGATTAAAATTAAATATTTGAAATAGGCAATTAGAGCCTGACTCACAGTAGTACGTTTTAATTAAGTGTTAATTGAAGAGGCTTGTGATGAGAATTAGTTATTAAAAATTAAACATAGAATTAGGAAGACCCAAACAAGGCCTAAATCTACTCATCAAATAAAGGTAAATAGAGATAGACAGTTTAGATGGACTTGAGCATTCTAGAGCCAAAAAGGGAAAGAAAGGAAGAACTAGGGTTCAAGAAGAGGAAGAACTAGGGTTCTAGAAAAAGGGGAATTGAGCAATCTTCATCAAACTATCAAGCAAGGTAAGAAATTTTCCTTAAATCTTACGAATTAAGGTTGCCTTTATCATGAAATAAGTTGAATAAAAAAGTAGAGTAGTGTTAATGGTTGTTAAGAACCCTAAAGATGAAGATTGCAGGAAATAGCTTTTAATTAGAGCACACATGGCATCATTTTTGTTGTTCCATGTGAGATTGTGCATGACTCCTCAAATTTGAGGAGAAATTGTATTGATTTTAGCTTTGGTAACCACACTTTACATTGAGTTTGATTTTACACTCAAAGTTCATGACTTTGTGGTCTAATTCGAGTATTGAGCCTTGCTTGATTGTTTGAAGTTGGAAGTATTCAATCCATGTGGTTTTGAAGTGTTTTTTAGCCTTCTTTTGTGTAAAATGAAGTTGGGTTTGAAAAAGGGAAAAATTCCATTTTCAGCAAAAATTCACACTGGTTTTTCACTCAGATCGCTCGAGCGACCTGGGCCACCGCACGAGCGACCAACCTTGTTTTGGCCAGACTTGCATTCTGAAGTTCACCCACTCATGCAACCAAGGCCATTGCACAAATGGCCAAACCATCTTACGTGCGGTTGGGGCCACCGCACGTGCGGCCAGCAGGGCCAACCCAGTTTGATTTTTCTTCTATTTTCTCTTACTTTCGGGCCTCCAATTGCATGATTTTCAACTGTTTTCTTGTGTATGTGCATTGTAGAAACACAAGAGGAAATGAAAGAATGAATGAGATCGGATTAAATAATAAGTAAGGAATAAGTTAGTGACTAATTGGGTGGAAGGACTGTATATTGAACCATTGTGCTTTCATGTGTCTATGTAGGTCAAACGCCGCATCCTAGCCACGTGCTACACGAAACTAATTGTGAGTGACAATGTAGTAAAGCTATGTTTGAGTTCTACTTCTTTTAGATTATTATTGTTCTTGGTCAAGTTTTGTTCTACAGTGATATAATTTACTGAATGAATGAGTCCATTCCATGTAATATGCTCATGTGGCCCCTGCCCGGGGGTAACAATACTGCAGTTTTATACATGTGGCCTTTACTCTAGGGTAATAATACCGTGGTTTGTATCCACGTAGCCCGTACCCGGGGGTAATAATATCGTGGTCTATGTTCACATGGCCCTCGCTTAGGGCTAACAATACCGTGACCTATATTCACGTGGCCCTCGCCTAGGGGTAATAGTACCATGGCCAAATGCGTATGAGATATTGAATTATATAAATATGATTTAAAGAACTGACATATGAGCCCGTAGATCCATATGATTGCTATGTTTTAACGAACATGCTACTACTATGTGACTTGACTTTACTGTTCAAATGGACATTATTTCTAATCTCTTTACACATTGTTGTTTACTAGGCTTTGGCTCACAGTTGATATCTGTCGTGTAGCTGATCAAGCTCAATAAAGGACTTGAGGGCATCAACCTACCTTCTAGTTGTCAAGCCAGCCGTTGTGCCTCCCTTCGAGGTTCCTTTTGGGTCTAACTCTAAGGCTGTTTGGGTGGTTATGAATTCACCCTTTTATTACGTGCTCAAGTGACTCATAGAAAAGATCTTTTGTTTTTTTTGAATAGTCCTTAAGGGATTAATTCCCTAGATATTGTATTTGCTTTTGGTCCATGTATATGATATAATATTGGAGGATTGTACAATGATGCATATACAGGGTTGTTATTCATTTTAGTTTCATAGCTCATTGGCCGATGTATTGTGATATTCTTGGCTTCCACTAGCCTTTTATACTACTAATTGTTAAGTAGGCCTGTGGTAATCTTAAATTACTGGCCGGTTACGTCTCTAACCCCGTGGGACGAGGGTTGGGTTGTAACACCCTGGGTGGACGAACCACTGCTGGATTCTTATCTTCTTGTGCAGGTTGTTAGACTTAATCTATTCTGCCGGTGCTCTCCAATTGAGTTCCCCGTTTGCTTGTATGGTCAGAAATCAACACCCGAAATTTGGCGTCATCTGTGGGAACTTAAGGAGAATAGATAGCTAACAATGGACAGGGAGAAAAGATCGGGGATGACGTCCCAGGTGGGAGTGGTAAACATGTCGATTCCAACATAGAGGAATAAAATCATAATAAAGGAGCACAGGATCAGAATCCTGGGGAGAATGTTGTCGGCAAAGATGGAGATGCCCGAAGAAAGTAGGCCGAGACAAGTATTACAACGAAAGTGACCTCCAGGTATGAATGGACAGATGCCTGAGGAGGGACGGCGAGATGAAGGGAATACAAACAAGTTGGCAAACCTATAATCGGTTACCAACTTCATGATGTAGAACAACGTAATGCAACCACCGTACCCATTGCGAGACACACCGATACTAGCGGCCAAGACCAATGCCCAGAAAGGAGGCAGAAAGCAATCCCAGTAGTCCCTCAGCATGACAAGGAGAATGAACGCTCACATTGGCCTTCACGAGATGCCGGGCGAGTGGAGTCAGCAAGAGGTGAGACGCAAAAGACACCATGAACAAAAGGGACCTATGTCAAAGAACCTCGGCATATCTAGGGGAAGGGACTTTGCTTTGATATAGTGAGCGAAGAGAAGTCTAAGAGGACGCACAATGATGTAGGGAGTAGCGATCCAAAAAGGCTAAAATCTGTTGATAGCCGAGCTTCCGGATGAACAAAGGAGGATTTGAAGGACTACCTCCAGAGAAAGCGGCAGAATGACAAGGTCATGTCACCCGTCAACCCGAGAATGCCGTTTTCAGTGGAGTTAGATAGTTTTAAAACCCCAAAGAGGCTTTATATGCTAAGGTTCCAGATTTATGATGGTAAGTTTGATCCGAACTTTCATGTCGACTTATATCTGAATTCAATGGCTTTGTATACCGAGAACGAGCAGTTACTGTGCAAGGTGTTCCTCTCATCCTTTAGGGAAATCGCATCGGATTGGTTCCACAAGTTGCCGAAAGGAACTGTGAAGAGTTGGAAAGGCTTGGCTGAGATGTTTGTGGCCAAGTTTGTTACGAATAAGTTGCAGCCATTAAGGGTAAACTCCCTGATGGCTCTGAAAATTGATGAGGGTGAAAGCCTCATGGCATATGCCAAAAGGTATTATGAGGTGTTCAACCGAATACCGAGATGTAACCAGGAGCTGACAGTTGTATCTTTTAAGAATAACCTGCAGGATGCATGCCCTCTCTGGAAGTCACTGGAAAAAACTCTACCAAAAAGTATGAAGGAACTTATGGCTCAGATTGAAAAATATGCCAGAGCAGAAGAGGCTACGCTGGGAACAAAGGCACCAAAGCAAGAGAAGAGAAACGGCTAGCTGAAGCGAGGTCGAGGTAAAACTGGTTTTAACAAGCAGGAGACAGGGTTGAGGGCTGCACAGGCAGTCACCACTGTGTTCCAAATCCCAGTTTACAAAGTTCTAGAAAGAATTCGAAACCAGCTGTATTATAGAGCGCCAGAGAAGGTTCTTGGCGAGTTTATAGAAAAGAGCCTTGGGAAGCACTGTGCCTACCATAATGAGGATGGACACTTGATTCAGAGCTGTAGGGCTCTGAAGACGCACTTGGAGGATCTGGTTAGACAGGGTCATTTGCGAGATCTAGTAAATGAAGCCAGAACAAGGGAAGAGCAGGCAAGACTACCCTAGGCACCGACAGCACCACCTCTGCCACCGCCACCGCCACCACAGCAAGCAGATGGACTTCGGGTGATCAATGTTATTCACTCAAAGGTTAATAAGAATGAGGTGCATAGGGAAACTCAAAGAGTAAGGCACCTGCAGCATGTGTATCAAGTCCAGTAGAAGAAACCTCGAACCATTGAGTACCAAGGACCGATGGTCTCTTTTACCGAGGCAGACCTGGATATGGAGCAGCATCCACACAATGATGCCTTGGTGATAATGCTGAAGATTAGGGATTGTAAGGTAAGGTGCATACTGGTTGATAAAGGCATCTCTAGTGACATCATGTATGTTAGATGTTACAAGGAGCTTGGCCTTCACCTAGATGATCTGGAACAATCCAACAGCCTGATGGTTGGATTCAACGAAATGTCGACGTGGCCTCTAGGAGCCACGAATTTGGAAGTTCAAGCAGGCATGAAGAAGGTAAGCATCGAGTTTACAGTAATTGACACCCCCTTCCCTTACAACGTTATCTTGGGAAGGCCATGGTTGCATGCAATAAGGGTTGTTCCCTTAACATTGCACCAGTTGTTGCGGTTCCCAACGGAACATGGAATTGAGGAAGCCAGAAGAGATCAGGTGCACACAAAAAATTGCTCCATAGGAGCAATGAAATCCACCTGCAATGTGCGAGAGGTAGAAACAGTAGAAATTGAAGACGATGACATAGAGGTCCTGGATGATGTCTGCAAATAGCCAGCCAACAAGAGTGAGGAAGTACTGAAGAAGATTCTGGTAAAAAAAGATGATGCAGAGCGCTTATTCCTTCTCAACTCAGGCTTAGCCGAGGAGGAGGAGAGGGAGTTGGTGGCTTTCTTGCTAGCAAACATAGAAGTGTTTGCCTGGAAGCCATATGAGATACCTGGCATTGACCCTGAGGTCACTTTCCATAGGCTCAATGTAGACAGGTCGGCTAAACCTGTTATTTAACGGGCAAGAAAGCCGACGTTGATTCATGTAGAGGCAGTAGAAGAGGAAGTGGACAAACTGTTAGAAGCCAAGGCTATTCGGGAGGTGAACTACCCAACCTAGCTGTCTAACACAGTAGTTGTGAAAAAGAAGAATGGGAAGTGGAGGGTTTATGTGGACTTCACTAGCCTAAACAAGGCTTGTCCCAAAGATAGCTTCCCTCTGCCTAAAATTGATCAGCTGGTGGATGCCACTTTAGGGCATGGGAGGATGAGCTTCCTGTATGTTTACAAGGGATACCACCAAATAGAAATGTATCCCCCTGACGAGGAGAAGACTGCATTCATCACTCCAAAAGGGCTGTACTATTCTAGAGTGATGCCTTTCGGATTGAAAAATATAGGAGCAACCTACCAGAGGTTAGTGACCAAGATGTTCAGACATTTGATTGGCAAGACAGTAAAAGTGTACATTGATGACATGGTCATGAAGACCAAAGAACCTGGAAATCATCTGGCCGACTTGAAGGCAGTTTTTGATATCCTAAGAACATATCGACTCCGACTCAATGCTTCGAAATGTGCATTTGGAGTCAGGTCTGGTAAGTTCCTAGGATAATTGGTCACCAAAAGAGGCATTAAGGCAAGCACAGATCAAATCAAGGCTATCCTTGATTTAAAGAGTCTAACATCGGCCAAGCAAGTCTAGATTTTGACTGGCAAGGCGGCAGCCTTGAACAGGTTCATTAGCAGAAGTTCAGATAAGTATAAACCTTTTTTTAGTTTGTTAAAGAAGGCCACAGATTTTTTGTGGACAAAGGAGTGCGAAGTCGCCTTGGCCGACTTGAAAAAGTACCTGACAACAGCTTTAGTCTATCAAATCCAGTACTTGGAGAAGAATTGTTCCTATGCTTAGCAATTTCAGAACACGTAGTAAGCGCGATAGTAATCTGAGAAGATGAAGGAGAACAAAAGGCTGTATACTATGTAAGTAAGACCCTAGCAGGTGCAGAAACCAGGTACCTGCCTTGGAGAAACTAACATTAGCCCTGGTGATGGCTTCGAAAAAACTGAATCACTACTTTTAAGCCCACAAGATTGTGGTTCTAACTGGGCTTCCTTTGAAGTTCCTGTTGTAGTAAGGAGATCTGACAGGCAGGGTAGCTAAATGGGCAGTAGTGTTGGGCCAATATGACTAGGAGTTTAGACCTAGAACAACAATTAAAGGCCAGGTTCTAGCCGACTTTGTGGCCGAGTTCACCCCTAGTGCCATCCCATGTCGGAATTCGGTGAGCAGCGGCCTGGGATGCCCAGAGGGAGCAAGAAGAAACCCAACCGGGGCCCAAGAACCCCATTCCAACAAAACAGAAGAAAAAAGAGAAACCAAAGCCCTGCGACATCTACATCGACAACTCCTTTCGCCTGTTTATTGATAGAAGTTCAAACCATCAAGGAGCAGGGGCAGGAGTAGTGTTAGTATCGCCAGATGGACGAATGTTAGAGCAGTCTATTTGTTTGGGGTTTAAGGCCTCAAACAATGAAGCAGAGTATGAGACACTAATTGTAGGGTTGAAGTTAGCAACAACAATGGAAGCTGATGAGGTGGTAGTCTTCTGTGACTCCCAACTTATTGTGAATCATGCAACAGGCGAGTATGTAGTCCGAGATGAAAGAATGATAGCCTATGTCAAAGAAGTTGTTAGACTGCTAGCATTGTTCTAGGATTGTCGGCTACAGTAGGTTAGTCGAGATGATAACAGTCATGCTGATGCCTTGGCTAACCTAGCTAGTGCAATGAAATTAGGAGAGACAAGAACAATAAAGGTTGATTATTTGTCAGGCCCAAGTGTAGAACCACTGATCACAAAGTACGAAGATATGTGTGTGGAGATGGGTCCAAGCTGATGGATGTAATAGTAATGTTCCTAAGGGATAGCAAGCTGCCGAATGACTGCAAAGAGGCATATAAGACCAGATTGAAGTCGACCAGGTTTTGCTTGTCAGCAGATGGCCATCTCTACAGAAGATCCTTTACTGGGCCCCTTCTAAGATGTGTGCATCCATCCCAGGTTGAGGATTTCTTGTATGAAATACATAAAGGAGTATATGGAAGCCATGCTGGGGGCAGGTCACTTGCCCATAGAGCCATATCCTAGGGATACAAGTGGCCATATATGCAAAAGGATGCTGAAGCCTATGTTAGAAAGTGTGAGAAGTGTCAAAGGTTCGCACCTTTGATACATTAACCAGCAGCAAATCTGAACCCAGTGTCCAGTCCTTGGCTGTTTACCCAGTGGGGCATAGACCTAGTGGGACCACTACCACAGGCAACCAGACAAAGAAAATACTTGCTAGTAGCCGTAGACTACTTTACAAAATTGGGTACAAACTGAAACCCTTGCAAAGATTCGAGATATCGATGTGAAGAACTTCATCTAGAAGAACATAATAACCAGATTCGGGATCCCTAGGGCCATTATAGCAGACAATGACACTCAGTTTGACAGTAAGTTGATCAAGAGCTTTTTTGCCAAGTACAAGATTAAGAACTACTATTCTACTCTTAGTTTCCCCCAGAGTAATGGGCAAGCAGAAGCATCCAACAAGACCATTTTGGATGGATCAAGAGGAGGCTGGAAGCAGCCAAAGGCAAGTGGTGGGAAAAATTGCCTAATGTTTTGTGGGCATATCGGACTACGCCGAGAAGATCAACTAGGGAGTCTCTGTTTGCCATGGCTTATGGCATTGAAGTAGTCATCCCACTAGGAATCGATATCCCTGGAATCAGAATCCAGAGAGTGGAGAATGGAACTAATGAGGCATTCTTGGCCCGAGATCTGGACCTGTTGGAAGAAAGAAGGGAGAGAGTAGCAATTCGGCTGAGGGCATACCAGCAGAAGCTTGCTAGGGCTTACAATAAGAAGGTCAACCCAAGAGAATTCAAGGTTGGGGACCTCGTCTTGAGGAAATTTGTTGGCAACAAGAAGGATCCTAGGGAGGGAAAACTTGGCCCAAATTGGGAGGGACCTCATAGAATCATCTTGGTTGCTGGCAATAGGGCATATCGGCTTGAAGACACTGATGGCAAAGAGTTGCCACGACCCTAGAACACTTGCAATCTAAAGTTTTTTTTTATCATTAGTTTTATTTTTTGAGAATTATGCAATATCAGCCGAAGTTTTAAAAAAACATTAGCTTGATTTGGTTTTATTGTTGGTGATATTTGTACGATAGGACTGAAGTAGTCTTATGACGATGTTTTCGAATGAAACATGGCGAATAAATTAGACTCATCATATATGGTAAAGTTGAATTATACTTGCCATATAATAGAGTTGAACTAAGTTTACGATGTTTCCGGTTGAAACATGACGAATAACTTAGATTTATCATATGGTAGAGTTGAATTATGCTTGCCATATGATAGAGTTGAACTAGTTTGCGATGTTTCCGATTGAAATATGAAGAATAACTTAGATTTATCATATGATAGAGTTGAATTATACTTGCCATACGATAGATTTGAACTAAGTTTGCGATGTTTCTAATTGAAACATGACGAATAGCTTAGACTTATCATATGGTAGAGTTGAATTATACTTGCTACACGATAGAGTTGAACTAAGTTTGCGATGTTTCTGATTAAAAATGACGAGTAACTTAGACTTATTATATAGTAGAGTTGAATTATACTTGCCATATAATAGAGTTGAACTAAGTTGG